CATCCACCCCATCGCAGCAGCAGCAGGGAGGAAAGGAAGCATCTGGAGCACACAAAAGGACTAATTCCCCCAGTAATGTTCCCAAAAGGAAGGAATTTCCAGCGAGGAGGAGTCGCTTCGTGCCGAGGGACACAGCTGATGCCCTGATGGCTCAGACTGGATTAACACGAGGCAAAAGGCCCAACTGGAGACTCCTCCTGATATTGCTGCAGTGACTTTGGAGCTGCTCCCAGAGGGACATTTGTCCATGGGGAGCTCTGCTTGGAGCAGTTAAACCTTCTTATCTGCAGCCTGTTTGCATTAACTGCAGGAAGTTTGTATTCTATTTCCTCAGTTTGTTGGAGGGGCTCCATGCAGTCTGTCCAGGTGTGCTCTGGTGATGGGAGTGAGCAGCTCTCACTGCCATGCTCAAACACACCCTGTGACTGCACGGGAGCCACAACATCTCAGACACAACCACCTCCTGCCTGAGACTTATTCCAGCTGATGCAAATGCTCTGAGATGTGTTTTTGCCTGGAGAAATGGGGAGAGTATGTATTTACTTGTATTATAAAATGTTCATTTTAAACATACATGCTCCAGACTGTTGAATATATTTTTTCCCTGCAGCAACTGTCATGGCAAACAACTTCCACAACTGGAAAAAAGAACCCCTTAGCACTTGTTTTTATGGATCACATTTGCCAAATAAGTCTCATAACTTTGTCAGTGTTGTCCAATTATCTGTTGCTTTATATCTGCAGTGAATATCTTATGCATTTGTGCCAAAATATTAGAGGGGGAAGGGAGAAATGATAATCAGTTTCCTATGGAAATCTCTTTATCTTGGTTTTTTTTTTGTATACAAACCCCCAAGCTGGATGTGGCTGTGGGAAGGACCAGCTTGGATGGACTTTAGGATGGTTTGTGTTAAGGTTTTAGTCCTGCAACCTCCTGTGCACGTGGGCAGTTGTTGGCAGTGTTGGAGCTCCCTGATCCCATCAGGAATCACATTTCAGACACCTACCAGGAATTCTCAACCTGCTTTTCCAAGTGCTTGTTGCTTTGAGACTTCTGTCAACCTCTGCACCTGCATCACCCAAATCTGCCACTCAGGACCCGAGGGGAGGAGACACCGAGGGGAGGAGACACCGTTGGATGGACACTGGAAAATTGATCCAGAGCTCACTTTGCTCTGTGTTTTACAGGCAAATGAGGAGATGTTTTAGGGGGTTTCCTCCAGGAACAAGAAATTCACTTTTGTCAATATGAAATTTAAATCCTGAGGAAGTCTCTGCGTGGTGGATGAGCTCCTGATGCCACAGGCACTTCAGAATATCCCTCTGCTGAGTTCTGACTGAGCTTTCCCTGTGCAGCAGTTTGTGTCAGCACTGGAGGTTTCTAGGATATTTACTGTGTTCAGTTTTTGCAGTGTGTCTGATTTGAGTCACAGCTCTGGGGCAAGAGGAGCATCTGTATCATGTCTTCAAGCCACTTCCAAAGCAGGTCTGTGTGGCACTGTGGGTTGAGTTGGCATTTCTGTTCAGTTTCTGGCATAGTTTATCCTGAACTTTGTGGAAATATTTGGCTTTTGGCTGTTTAGTAAGAGAGGGGAAAGATCTGCTCTGTAAAATGCCCCCAGGTTTCCTCCCTGAGCATCTTATTTGCTTGTGTGAGTGCCAAACTGGTGTTGTGCTCCCAGTGGTGGAGGGAGTTGGACTCTGGTGCCTCACATTGACAACGACATCTTAAATTCCAAGTCAGGGAAGCAGGTGTGGGAGGAACCTGACCCAGAGGTTGGGAATAAATCCCAACTTTAATATGAAGTTTGCCCACAGAGTCATCTCCTCACCACCCTAGAAACCAGATCTCTATCTCCCTGCCAAAGGATAATTAATTGCTGACTGTTATTAATTGAGGCCTTTTGAAAACCAGGAATCAGATGATGCATAAAAACTTGGGTTAATCTCTCATCATCCCTTAAGTGAAATGACTTACATGGCAAATGTCAGCTGGGCCAGCAGAGCATGGAGCTAAACCAGATTATCTCCACTGAGGTATTAACTTCCTCTCCTCCCCTTTGCTTCGCACTGACTCCTAAGGCTTTGTGGGTTCTGGAGTTACCTTAGGAAGTCCATGGGACAAGGGATGAGGCAGGGAGTGATCCCAGGCATGTGCTGCCTCTGACAGTCACAGCTGCAGTGGGGACAGTCAGAGACCTTTAAGATCAAGCCCAACCATTCAGCAGCAGTCCCACTGCAGTTTGTCCCGTGAATTCCCATTCCTGTGGACAGTAAGGACAGGGAGCAGCACAGGGCCGGGACTGCTGGAGGCAGGAGAGCCTCAGGGATTGCTTAGGGGGTGGTTCTTTCTAGACCTTGATTAAAGCAGCTTTGGTGTGTAGCACAGAGGGATGTGACCAGCTGTGCCCCAGCTCAGATTCCAGCCCCAGACTGGAATATCCTCTCATTTCATGGCACTCTTGGCTAGTTTCACCAGAATTTCCTCCGTTTCTGTTGCTAGTAGAGTCACCAGCTCTCGGTGTGGCTGCAGTGCTGGCAGCCTGGCTGCTGGCAGGCAGTCCCCAGGGCCTTGTGCTTTGCCATCACTTGCTGATTGGTTTTGCTGTTAGTGTATTGAATTGCAGTTTGCATTTTGTGCTAAGCTTGTCTTAGAAGTAATCCAGTGCTGTCCATTTGGTTTAATCTCCAGGAATCAGTGTGCATATGTGTGGAGATGGAGAAATCTAATCACAAGGCATTGCCCTGGAGCTCTGTGTGTGCCATGAAAAGGCTGTGGGGAACCTTTGAGTCACACACAGTTTCCTCTCCCCTTGTGGATCAGGTTGAACCCCACAGAGGATTCCTTTGCAGGGGGAGGATATCCAGGACTCCATCTCCAGCAGCAGGTACTGACACCCGTGCCTGGTGCTGCTTCCTGTCACTGGAAAAGCACAGGAGGAAGAGGAGCACAGCTCGGTGAAGGACTTAGCCCTCTCACAAAACATCCAGGAGCTTTCCTGGTTCTCCAAGGTGCTGGATGGGCAGGAGGATGGAATCCCAGGGATGAAGCCAGGATGAGTGTCCCTCTGCAGAAGGACTGAGCAGCGTGGTGAGCTCAGCCTGGTTTTGCCATGTAAATGCTTTTGTATTTAGGTGTCTTTCTTGGCTATTCAGATGAATCAAATATTTTATTTTTAACACAAAGGGCAATTAAGGAC